AAACTTTATTATATAGAAGATAAATTGTGACAAACAGCTGCACCACACCATATAAACGTAATTTAAATATAAACAAGAGCTAAAACAAAAATTGCATTATACGTAAAAAACAACCGCAGACAAAACTTGGGCCATCACTAGAATCGTACAACTAGAATAAAATAGATTTAATATAATACAAATATTTTCAATATACCGTATTAATTTAAACTAAATAATATACCGTATTAATTTAGACTAAGTAGTAAAAGAATAAGTACAATTAAACGTATATTTTAATTTGAATATAAATTGAATATAAAATTAGTATATTGAATAGACCATATAAATTGACCTAAGTAGAAACTAAATTTGAAAAGAATTATTCTACCATTAATCGTATAAATTGAACTAAGTTTGAAAAGAATTATTCTCTAATAACCATATATATTAAACTAAGTTTTTAACTACACCATATGTTTGTATTTAAATACACAAAAATTAGTCTTAAAAACAAATATAAAATTAAGAACTGCATTGAAACATATTGACTAAATATAAATTAAATATAACACGAAAAGCTCTACCTAGCCATGTCAATATGACCTTTTTGAACAATATTATGAAACACATCAATTCACAAGAAACAATATTTTGAACCACATCAGATCACAGAATCCATATAATTTTTAGTAGTACTCAATGTCTAATGAATCGAGTAATTTAGTCATATTATGTTAATTGTGTATCACATTATGCTTACCACAACAACGATGGCAAATGTTAATAATTGTTTTGGTTTTTTATATGTTTATCTTATAAATTCTTATAGGTTTGATTAAAGGTTTCATATTTTTTATCTGAAGCTGGAAGTGTTTAGGTTACATTAAAATAAACAAACCTATTATGGGTATCACTTTTTGAGAATATAAACTAAATTTAAAACGAATATTTCCATCATAAGGTTGCACATCTTTATAAACGAACTCAATAAAACGATCAACTGCACGAAACGGTATGAATTACAATCGAACCTGTACTAAGTTAAATGAAACTGGAATTAAGTAAAAACAATAATAAGAGTTGGAATTAAGTAAAAACAATAACAAAAGTTGGAGTTAAAGTAAAACAATAATAGTTTGTAATATAATCAATCACTTCTCCTCTAAGGCAGATACGGCTAAATATTTTCCATTAGTGATTATACTTAATTATACTTATATTTAAAAAGAACTTAATAATATTGGAAGTAAACAACACTGAGAATTAGATTATTGACGAACACACAAATTCATAGAAGAAAAGACATTAAATGACACATAGGGCTTTCATGTTTAGGACATTACAAACACAAACACAAAAACTTGCTGAGCGCTGAATCAACACTTACTTAAATCGAACTTTACCAACATTCACTTAACTGAAACGCAATCACTAAATAATACTCCCCTTCTAAATACCACCTCTCAATACTGGACATCTGTCCAAATATTATAATTTATCTAGCACATCCTTGCACTTACATAAAATATTTCTTATTTCTCTTAAGACTATTACGGCCTGATGGTTCCATATAAGTGGTGGAACTTTAATAGCTTCCACTGCGAAACAATAGCACACTTTATATTAAATGTTTGTTTTTGTTGTTTGTTGTAATACTTCTGCTTTAAAGTCGTACTTTTTATCTAAAGAATTGAGTAATTGTGTTATATTAGGTTAATTGTGTATCACATTATGCATACCACAACGATAGCAATTGTTAATAATTGTTTTGATTTTTGTTAAATGTTTTTGAATATTTATCTGATAAATTCAGATAGGTTTACTTAGATGTTCTTTTGTTTTTATCTGTGGCTGAAGGTATTCGGGTTGCATGTAAATAAACAGAATTATTGTGTTTGTCGATCTTTGAGTATATAAACTAAATTTAAAACGAATATTTTTATTATAAGGTTGCATGCTTTTAAGGTATTTTTGCACGTTTGCATGCGTCTAAGGCATTTACGTCTAAATATGTTCCACTAGTGACTATACTCACTTATTCTAGTTGCGAACCTGATATGTAAAGAGAACATGATAAGACTGGACTGAGCGAGACTAAGAACCATTATTTACGAACACACAGATTCAAAGCAATAAAAACACTAAATGACACATAAAACTTTAACGTTTAGAACAATACAAACACAAAACACAATAACTTACAGAACACTGCAACAACACGTACTTAAATCTAACATAACCACCACTTACTTAACTCAAACTTAATTACTGAATAGTACCCTTCTTTTAAACAACAACTCTTAATTCTGGACATCTGTCCAAATATTATAATTTATCTTGCACTTCCTTGCACTTATATAAAATATTTCTTGCTTCTCTTAAGACTATTACGGCCTGATGGTTCCATATAAGTGGTGGAACTTTAATAGCTTCCACTGCGAAACAATAACAAAAGCTTTGATTACCTAGTAGACACAGTACGTTATTAAAACGTTTTTTAGACGTTTTTATCAGGTTTAAAACTGAAAAAACGTCTAAAGAAAAAAACGCATCGTGCGCACGATGCATTTTTTTCTTTGGACGTTTTTTTTTCAGTTTTAAACCTGATAAAAACGTCTAAAAAACGTTTTAATAACGTACTGTGTCTACTAGGTAATCAAAGCTTTTCTTCGAACAATTTTTTGTGTTGCATATCTTTTTATGGTTGGTCCTATACCACGCATGGTCCTTTACCATGAGAGGTTGCCAAGTAATTCTAGCAAATTTTAATTTTGTGTTTGCTTTCAATCCATGGAATTAAATCTACTATGAAACAATTTTTAAATTGACTTACATAATATGTATTTTACATCCTTGTTAATAAGGTTAGTTATTAAAAAGTCAATAAAATAAAAAACTAAATTTCTGGAATGGTTCAAATCATCAGAAATAAAAACGGCAGATTTACAAGAGTCACCATGCCAGCTAACAACAGTAAATAATGTTACTAACTTTTTGTTCCAATGTTCTGACTGAACTTCATCCTCTCAGAATGTTGAGAAGTTTTCTGGAAAATCAACTTGTAACAAAACTGAATCAAATAGCTTTTTAAAATCTTTTTTGGTTTTCATAACTTATTGATTGTTTTCCTTTTATAAAATAATGCAAAAAAATTTGGGTAGCATTTTGCAAACATTCTTATACAAACTTATGGAATTGTCTTTTTTCATTGCTTTTTCAAGGTACTTTAGTTCCATTAAGTTACGTAACTTTCTCCCAAAGGTACCAGGCAAATTCTTTATCGTGTTTTTTTTCATTCAATTGGTATGTTTTGAGTAATAACTTTCCGTCTTTACAAGCTTCACAAAGATTATTCGAATATTTATCATTTTTCTTGTCACACACCAAAGTATTTGGTAAAGCATGCGAATAATAGGAAATTTTTAAATCGTTGAAATGAAATGCTTTGAGTAACAAGATAATGTTTTCATGTTTTGATATGAACAAATATTTCTAGGCATTAAGCTTGATAAAAGTATATGGCCTGGTCTCAAACTAGCAAACTTGGATTTACTGATTGAAAAATCAGTGTGTTCGTTTTTAAATATTTGATATGCTTCACTTATATTCATTGTTAAATACTTTTTTTGCATTTTCTTTTTTATCTTTATTACTTCTTAAAACAATCGTATATCTTACTCCAGGTGCCTGAAAGGATATACCATCTTGTTCAAAAAAACTAACGACGTGCAGCTTCGTTTCATCATTAAGAGCATTAGGTCCATGTGTTGGTTGCATATCTGGTAAATCTTTGCTAAACTGAATTGCAAGTTGTTCATTACTTTCAACAAAGAAATAAATAATTTGTTTGTGAAAGTGTGCTTTTTATAAGAATTGTATAAACAATAAACATGCTGAATGATTTCAGCAATAATGCGACAAAATATAAGAAAAACTAAATAACAAAGGTGTTAGTAAAATATGTCTACATATATACAGGCAGGGCCGCCAAGAGGGGGTGCAATTGAAGTAGTTTGCCCCGGGCATCAGAGTGTATGGGGCATCACATGCCTCAAAAAAAAATTATTGAAATGATAAAAAATTTAGCTGATAACGTATTTAAAGATTAAGAATTTTTGTGTATTAATTTCTTTCTCCTTTTAAACTTTGTTTGCATTTAAAATAGGATAATTATTACTTTACAAGGTTTTCATTATCCATTTGAACGCACGCGTTTTCTTTAGCCTTTTGTTCGCATGATAGAATAAAAAGCGTTAAAATATTTTTTTCTTATTTAACGTTTGTAAAAGCCTAACTTCCAATAGTTTAACTTATTTTTGCTTAAACCTTGCGTCCCTGTGGATACTTTTGTGCATATGTATGTTTTTGACTCGCCTGCATTTTGTTCCGACTATATTTTGACAAGAAACTTATCTTCAGTGGATATTTTAATTGTAGGTACTGATTTTTTCTCTGCAATTAATAACACCAAAGTATTATAAAGTTTTTAATTTTTAAAATTTAAAAAGTTAAAATTCTTTATATCGTCATAAGTTTTAGCATGAATAATCAAAGACCTCCACGATTGAACCAGCTGTCTAGGGCTGCTGGGAGAAAAAGAGCGATGATTCGGAAAAAAACGAAAGCAAAAACAAACAAACGCTTTTAGATTGCGTTCGTTGGACAAAAATCGAAGATAAATGCAAGCAGGTAGTTAAACTATTTTTAAATCTTGTAACGTTCATGAAAAAATAGTAAGAATAATTCTGTTTAATACTTCTTTATAGTTCAATGATATTGAGATCGGTATCAATGACTCTAATGAGTTGCCAGACCATAATTCCGACAAACTTTTTCTTGCCGATGACATCGAATACTCCCAAAAAACATCATCACATTTAAAAAAGGATCAGTTGGATTTTGTTCTTGGTTGTCACAATGACCAACAAATTTATAAAAGTGATCTTTCTATACCAATCTCTAACGATCCTGCACTATGGAAATCAATATCAGACACTGATCGAACGAATATAATTTTGATGGGACCTTCTTCAAATCCTAGCAATTTTCCAAGAGATCAAAAAGAACGCAAATTCCCTACTTATATCTTTTTAGAGGAACAAAGAAACGGAGAAAAAGTTATAAGAGATTGGCTCGTTTGGAGTAAGGCTGTGGCATCACTCTTTTGTTTCCCTTGCTCCCTTTTTGGATCGCCTAACTTAACCAGACCCGGTGTTCAATCCAGTTTTTTGTCTTGGAATGGAGGTATACATGGAAATTGGAGAAAACTTTCAGATCGCGTTAAAAGTCATCAACAAAGCGATTTTCACCGTAACTGTTATCTCCAATGGAAAACAGCTACGATTCACTTGAAAAGTCAAAAGTCCATTGAGCATCAGTTAGAAAAACAAATTGGAGATGAAACAAAGCGATGGAAAGTAATTTTACAATGCATTCTTGACGTCACAATTCTTGACGTCACAACAAAACATTACAAGATCATATGCATCTTATTGCTAAGCACCAAGAAGAAGAAAAACGCATGCAAGCTCATTATTTATCCTACAAATCACAAAATAAATTTATCAAGGAATGCGGCAAATTAGTGGTTCGAGAAGTTATTCAAGAAATCAAAAAATCAATATATTTCACCATCATCACGGACAGCACTCCCGATTCGTCCCACAGTGAGCAAATAACTTTTGTTTTTCGTTTTTTGCATTTCAATGATAATCAGCTGTGGGAGGTCAAAGAAAGATTCCTTAAGCTAGAAGAACTTGAAAAGAAGAAGGGATCTGATATAACAAAGTTGATATTGAATGTGTTGGAAGAGAATGAGCTCGACATAAAAAATTGTCGTGGTCAAGGCTACAACAACGGCGCTAAAATGGCAAGTATTTACATAGGAGTTCAAGCTTTGATAAGACAGAATATTCCACAAGCAATTTTCATTCCTTGCTCTGCTCGCAGTGTGAACTTATGTGCAGTACACGCTATTGAATCATCGGTTCCTGCGAAATCCTATTTTGGAAATATTCAAAAGCAATACAATCTGTTCGGCAGCAGCCCAGTTCGTTGGAAAATTCTTCAGGAGGAGACAGGCCAATCATTACATAAACTTTCTGTTACACGATAGAGTTCAAGGATTGAATCAGTTAAGCCACTAGCAAAAAAGCCAAGAGAGATCTTGAAATCATTACATCGTCTAAAAGAGTTAGAGTTCCAGGCGAAAGTAGTAATGAAGCGCATTATCTCATTAAATGGATGAATTCTTTTGAATTTGTTGTTTTCACTACTTTTTGGTTTAAATGTTTGATGGCAGTTAACAACGTGAGTCTTCTGCTTCAATCCTCTCAACTCACTCTCGATGATGAAGTAAAGATTCTAAATGGCCTTTTGATAGATCTGGATCAAATCCGTCTGTCTTGGGACCTGATTTTAATAGAGGCAACAGAAGTTGCAAAGAACTTGAAACTTGATAAAATAATGTTTTCTGTGAAGAGAACGCGAAAAAAGATCATCCCAGATGAAACTGCTGGTTACAACCACGAAGAAGCATCAAAAAACTTTGAGTGTAATGTCTTCAATGTTGCACTTGACAATCTGACTAGTCAAATGAGATCAAGATATAATAAGTAATAGAAGAGGAATGTAGCAAGTTTTCCTTCCTTTGGTCTTTACAGAAATCTCAAACAGACCAAGAACTAGGTTTAAAAGCGGAAAATCTAACTAAACTTTACTCAGAAGACTTATGTAAAAACGAATTTTCTGATGAAGTTTGGCTTTTTTTTTTCCGTAAGAAGAAATATTCTAGCCAGCGAAAAGCCTGTCGAACTTTTAAATGAAGTTTATGCAAAGGGGCTGCATTCAATATTTCTGCAAGTGTGTGTTTCTCTTAGAATCTTTCTAACATTGCCCGTTTCAACATCTGAAGGAGAAAGATCTTTCAGCAAGTTAGCTATCATCAAAGATTATCTTCGTTCCACAATGGGCCGGGAGCGATTGTGCTACTCGATGATCCTTTCAATCGAATCAGGTTAAGCCATTAATGTTAATTTTAAAGAAGTTATTTCAAATTTTGCTGCTAAGAAGGCCCGGAAAATGTGTTTGTCAATTAAGAATTGATTTTATAATAGTTTGTTTTTGCAAACCAAAATTAAATGTGATTTTAGGTTTTTTATGAAAGTAAACTATATTAATTTATTTGCTATTTTAAGACCTGAAGTATGATAGGGCATCCATTAAACTTTTGGACCCGGGCATCGCAAAAGCTCTGGGCGGGCCTGTTTACAGGTACACCTACAAGTTTAATAAAAAAAAACAATGTTAGTTATATTAAAGGAGGTTTCAAAACTTATCCACAAATAAAAAACAATAAAAATACTACAAATGTTAAACCGACATGTTTTTTGCGTAACATTTTTATAAAATTTAGTCTTCAAAAAGTTTAATTTTAAAAAAATGTCACGCCGTGTCTTCACAACGTGGCATAAACTTAAGACACATAACATAAAAACTAAAAATATTTAAATTTAAATATCTATCGATATTTATTGCTCTTTTTTAGTTACAAGTAATTTATAAATAGGGGAAAGCGGGGCAACATGGCGAACATTTTGAAAGGCCTGAGTTATTGCAAAACTATCAGTCAAGAAGCAATAATACTTTCTGAGTATGTAGGGTGGTTTCCACACTAACGTGAGCTTAACAAAAGTTTTTATATTATGTTAGATTACTCAAAAAGTAGAAATTTATTAGAAATGAATTTTTGCAGCCATCAATGTAGTACTATATGGGTTAGTTTAAAATTATTCTCACTCTGAAATTTAAATCAATAATGTACTTGTTTTGATCAAACTTTTAAAGAGCAGTTTTCCATACTTATCGTAAGTGTTTCACACTTATCGTATATATTGTTGACACTTATCGTATATCTTAAAATCTCCTTTAGTGACTGGTTTATAATGCGCTCGCGGTTTTTAATTTAATACATTAGAAACATTTTATTAAACGTTTTTAGGTATATAAATTAAAAAAATATATATTAAATAAACATTAATTATATAGTAATGAAAATATTATTTTGAATTAAAACTAAAGATTTTAAAAGCATTTCCATTACTTTAGTACAAATCTTTTAAACTGGAATGGATAGAGTTTCATTATAATTATCTGAGTCTTATTTTATAATTATTGTTAACGATGGAACTCGTTTTCTGACTCAGTTTCAAGGCTTACTTTTTCTTTTGCGACAAAATTGCAAGAAAAGTCACAAAAAAATGATGAAAAATTAAGAAAGGAACAATTAGCTGCAGATAAAAAGTCAAAAATAGCAAAAGAAAGATTAAGAAAGAAACAAATGGCTATTGAGAAAAAGTTATTAAATGAAAAAACTGAAAAAGAAAGAGAAAACATGAAAATTTTGAAAAAGAAAAAAGTTTTCTTTTTCAATATTTTACTTATATAAACTAGTAATTTTAACTCTAACTAAAAGTAACGAAAAATAAACATCCGTTATAAGAAACCGAAAGTGAGGAATTTTTTTTAGGCGCAAAAAGTAAACTTATGCGTATAAAATTGCGTTTATAATATTTCAAAAAACCAATTGGTATTTTAAAATACAAAATGTAAATACAGTTTCATTTTCACCCATTTTTAAGATTTTTTGTTGAGTTGTTATATGAAAACCCATCTTGCCCCATTCGCCATGTTGCCCCGCTTTCCCCTATTTATTTAAAATAAATATTTTTACGCTAGAAACTTTTAAAAAAAGTTTAAAAATGATTTACTAGAAAAATAATTAAACTTGAAGTTTAAAAAATTTTCTTTAACGTTTAAGCATCAAATCCTAAATTTCTTCGAAAACCAGTTTTACATTTTACATGTTTTTAGAAACTATAAACCTTTAACTTTTGAATGATACATTTAGTTTTTTGTTTTCTAGGATTTAAAATTTATATTGAATTTTTTGTACAACGTGGAAAAGCCCTTTAACGCATTTATATTAGTATGGCTCAGCGCGAGAGAGATAATTATCATATTTCTATTTATAAATTGTTAAATTTGCCTGACGTTATTTGCGAATATCCCCTAACCCGCAATATTGCCAAAAATGAATTTATTCTTAATTTTTTTTATAAAAAATAGTTTAAAACGATAAAAGGTAACATAAACTTAAGAAACATTTAAAGTTTAAGTTCAACTGTCTCAATCATTCAAATTATTTAAGTCAATTATTTAAAGTGTGTGTTCATGTGAGTTAACGCATTATAAGTAGTATAAGTTTTAATATGTCCAAAGGAAAACTACTCAAAATCTATATTTTTGTACGTAGAGTTTTCTTAATTGGCAGGACAGAGTAGTTCCGTAATTTTAACAGCAAAAATAAAAATACAAATAAAGTTAATAAATATAAAAAAATAAAATCTATAATAAAGTTAAATTAAAGTTTTTTCATGTTTTTAATTGTTTTTTTTATATTAATCGAATTTTGAAAATATTGACATTAACATCATTAATAACTTCATTGGTTAGACTGTTCTATATATTTACAATCCTCTGTGTCAAGAAATGCTCTCTTGCAACTGAAATACGAATATTTTATTTGTACAACCGTTGATTATGACCTCTGATTTTTGGATATAAACTGTTTATTGTTTATCTCCAATTAACTTTATGATTATCTTTTTTTTAATTTACGATATTCTTTTATATTCCCCTATTTAAGTCAATATATTAATTGTCATTAAATGAATTGTCATTTAATATTACGATATTCTTTTATATCCCCCTCTTTGTTTTTATAATAATGTAAATCGAAATTATTTGAACTGCTTTTTATAACGCATTTAAATATTTAATAATGTTGCTATTTACATTGTACTTATTATATTTTATTGAAGTCTTCATTATAATGATGATTCCAAATTGGTGAAGAAAATCCAAATAGGAAAAAATAAGAAACAATACAGCAGTCTCATTAAGTTTTTCTCATAGTATTTACAGCAATGCTTTATTTGACCTTATATTCTGCTTGATTTTTTGCAATAAAAAACCTCCTATCTACATCGCTTTTCCTTTTTTGCATCATTAAATATTAGGAAACTTAAATTAACTTTAATCTTATACATATTTTTTTTAAATATATCTACAATATTTTGAATATTGAATAATCTATTTTCGAAAACAATTATTTATTTATATCTTTCCTTTTTTTTTAGTTATAGTTGGGTCATTCCACGCCAAACGGTCCAATTTCCGAAATCGTTCCCCTCGATCATCTCCGATTTTAATAAAATTTTGTCAGTATGTTGTTAAACATGTTTCATGAAAATAAGGGTATTTTACTTTTGGCGCTATATTGCTTTTAAAATAACTCAAAAAAGACGGTTATAAAGAAGCTGATTTTTATCCATATCATTATGATTGTATGTAGAACCTTTAGACAATAAAACAATACTGAAAACCCTTTTGTTCTGGAGATATGACCCTAAAAAAAAACAGGAAAAAAATATGGTGTTGAATTTGTGACACTATTTGGTGAACCATAGACTAAAATTTAGGCATAATATGAATTTTTTATTAGTTGTTTGTAATCACCTTCGGTTTACTAAGAAACCACGTTTTTAAGATATTTTACCCGTTCATTACGAAAATATAAGACCCCAAAAATGCAGTTTTTAGCTACAGACTGATATTGAAGTTTAGGAATAACCCAGTTAATCGTCTTTTATTTTTTTTAGTGGAAGAATTATGTTACTAGTATTTCTTTTTTGATATAAAAAAAAACATTAATTCAAAAAACTTTATTTAAAAAAGTTTCTTTAGAAATTGGATTTTTGTTTTGCTAACCTTTATTTTTAATAAATAAAATAATCACAAAAAAAAATTTTTTAAGACGAAACTAAATGCTCGGTTGATTCAGTATATGAAATGAAACAAACGTTAGGATCGATGAAGATCGAGTTTATTGAAGCGAGAAAAAGTTATGTTTTTGGATCAATTTAATTTTTAACACAAAAGCTACAATTTATAAGCAAAATAAAAAAAGTGAAAAAATGTCAAAGACTCTGTAAGTAAATTAATGGTTATAAAATATTTTTTAGTTGTCTTTTCAGTTGTACTGCAATGAAACCTGTAAGTGAAAGCCGTTTTTTTTGTGTGTGTTTATTCTTACCTTCTTCTTGTTACTAATGATTCTTGTTTTGGCTTGTTTTTTTAATATTACTTATGACATTTTGAAGTTTTGCTGACTATAGCAGTCTTATATAAGATTGTCTTATATAATCTGCCTTGTGCAGCCCTAGCAAAGTGGTAGCTTATTTGCTTCAGAAACAAAGGATCTCATACACGGTGGTCTGTGATATGACTGTCAGCACTTCTTTGGGCGCATAAAGGCAAATAAATAATTATTTATATAATTGTTTTACCAAATATATAAATAATTATTGTTTAATAAGTTTTTTATTTAATTTATTTGTTATTCAAATTTTAAAAACTTTAATGAAAATAAAGATATTTAGATAAGTAGAAACATAAAGTAACAGCAATTTTCCATTTGACTTACTCTTATTCATATTTTTTCAGATTGTCAATGTTTTGTCGGTCTGATCTAATTCTAAATTCCATTCCGTTATTTATAGGTGTTTTGTAATAAGAGAAACTAGATTATTACCCAGCTAGCACACTTACATTGGGCCAACGTATGTAAAACCATCCCAAACGTCGGCTCTTTTTTTATGATGCAATACCAACGTTGATCCAATGTCATTTGGTTATTGATAAAATTATTACTGACGGAGCTAAAAGCATCTGGCAAATTTACATTGGTCCAACGTATGTAAAAACATTACAAAAATTAGATTGTTTTTTACGATCTAAACCCAATGTTGATCCAATGTATATATCTCGACATTGATTCAATGTATATAAATCAACATTTTTCTAATGTATGTAAAAACATCGAAAAAAGTTTATTTTTTTTATGATCTAAAACCCAACGTTGATCCAATGTATAAATTTCGACGTTGATTCAATGTATATAAATCAACATTGATCCAATGTATGTAAATACATCGCAAAAATTGATTGTTTTTATGAACTAAACCTAACGTTGATCCAATGTATGCGACCAAACATTGCTAATGCAAAATTATATAATTTAAATAAAACCTTCCATGATTACTAAAATATCAAACCACAATCAACACAAACTTGATTTTTGTTCCAATGATCAAGCGTCATCAATCTTATGTATGTATAGTTATTGCTTACATCAGCTGCATACATACATACATATATAAAGATAATAGAATTTAATGAAAATTTAATTCAGAATAGTTTTGAATACAACGTTTTTAACCAATTAAAGTTCAACGTAAATACAACGTTGTGGCAACTTAAAATACAACGTTGGAACAACGTATAAAATAAAACGTTGAATCAACTTAGAAAATATAACCATTTTCCAACTTTAATAAAACGCTTTACCAACATTGGTTTTTAGTTGTTGGTGACGTCGCATTTGTAACCATAATGATATAAAAATAACGTTGGCAGCCGATTTTGGGCCAACAAAACGCGCGACATTGTTCTAATGTTTTAACAACGTACTTGTGCTAGCTGGGTAAGAACAAAACTTATTCATAGCATTATTAATTACAAATAGTGTTTAAGTTCGTTTAAGGGTAACGAAACAGGCTCAGGACAAAGATAGTATTATTTATTTGTTATTCAAATTTTAAAAACTTTAATGAAAATAAAGATATTTAAATAAATAGAAACATAAACCCAATAAGAAAAATGACGTCGGAACAACGTTGTTCTAACGTCTTTCGTATCGTTGGAAAGACGTTGGCATGATGTTTTAAATGAAACACCGAAAAAACGTCATTTTACTAACGTTATTACAACGATGTAAAATGACGTGGTGACAACGTTACATTTTAACTAAATGACGTCGGAAAGACGTTAGAGCAACGTTAAATTTGAAGAAAAGAGACGTTATAAAGACGTTAGGCTAACGTTATATTTTAGCTAAAATGACGTTGAGCCAACGTCTTTCCTATCGTTTTTTACACGTTGGAATAATGGCATATATGAAACATAGGTCAACGTTATATTAACAATGTTGCGAAACGTTTTAAGAAAAACGCCCTCCAAAGTTTTTCTATCATTTTTGATGTTATTTCTACACTGCAAAAAACAATAAAGGACACTTTTACACTGTATAACTTTTCGCTGTCAAGCTATATTTCTTCTTATTTATTTAGGTTATACACGATTATTATATTAGTCCGGGCAAATAATTGAATACGGAAATTAAAAGACTAAAAATAAATAAACATTGCATCACTTCTATTCCAAAATTTTAAAATTATATACAATAACTTAGAATGAAACTAGTTTGATTTTTACTTTCTTTGCAAATTTCAATCATATCTCAAATAATTCGCGTATTCTTTGTTTGACACTAAAAGACAAATATATATGAAGAAACATAAAGTTACAAACAAATCCAATTAAAAGCATTTTTAAGAACTAAATAAAAAACATTCGGAATAAACAAATAGAAATACCACAAATACCAGAAATTGCGCTAACTTTCTATTTGATGCTAACCTGAGTTTTTCTGCTTTCAAAAGATTATCGACTGTAAATCGTTTAGCAACATTATCTGAATTAGAATAAACATTACCTCAATAGAATGCAAAACTAATGAAATTGCCTCCAAAATGATTTTAATTGAATAAATAAACAAAATTAATTTAAAACACACAATCAAAAAATAATAGAAAAAAAATATGTCAAGTTTTACCCTCAAAATATATAAAATATCTTTGAGTTCAGATTTCTGGAAAGTTATTTTTTTTACAAGTGTTATTTTGGCAATATATTTTTTTATAACATGAATTGCATGGTAAATAAAAAAACTGAAATGGTACATTTTCACTAAGCAAAGAATCAAAAATTGTTTTTATAAATAGCTCTCTTCAAGACTAATGATTACTTTGTTAGGTGTTTTTTCTTCCAATCCGAACTACTTATATTTCACTTAAACCCTTGACCATTTAAGCAAGTGGCATCTTCTTACCAAAAGCCAATAATTTTTTAAATAAAAAAGCAGACATATCAAGAAGCAATCATTCAGAAAACTATAAAAAATGAATAAGGTTATGTAAATTGTATGTTATGAATGTTGGACCATAATAATCCACAGCCTTAATAATCCAGTCATCCAAACCAATTTAATAGCATCAATGCATAACCAATGCATTGATTCTGCTTATTTAATTTGTATCTTCAGTGCATAAAGACCAGTATAGAAAAGAAATTAACTGTATAGCCTTTTATTTTTTAAAACTACATCTGTGATCTAGACTCTCTGTTTTTAACAAAATCAGAAATATGATTAATTTGAACATATGAAAATCACATACCTCTGGCTCAGTTTTTTCAAAATATCAATAATTGACGAACAATACCAAAACAAACTATATAATATAAACTAGATGATATATTATATAAACTAGATGTTAAACTTACTGTCTTTTATTGAACAAAAATGATGTCGTTTTTTTTGCTTAAAAATATAATTTGCCATTTGTAAAAAGTGTTAAAGCTGAAGCAAATGTGTGGAATAAAAGTTCAAAATGCGAGTCAAAAATAACCAATAAATTAAAGATAATTCAAAAACATGTTATAATAAATATAAACTACTTATCAAGGTTTATTTAAGGTTTATTTCTATTTTAAATTTTAATCCCTTTTTAATTGAAAATAAATTTAGAAATCATAAATTATTACTTTACAAGTACTCTAATTTCCTCTTAACACTTTTACAGATATAGATTACATATATAGATTTAAAATATATTACATATATAAAAATATATATTTACTTCATATATAAAAAAATAGTTAAATAGTATTTGTTTACAAATTTAATCTGTCATTTGTAAAAAGGACAAAAGCGGCTTCACTTTTTGGATTGAAGTAAGACAACTAGTTTATATAAAATATCATTGGTTAATACACATG